CTGTTTGTGTTAGCCAAGCGAATATACTCTCTGCCCATAGGCTTCCGTCCCTCTACACAACTTGATGTAAAGTGGGCAAACAAAATTAGTTATTAGCCTACTTATCGATCTTGATCGGTAAGTATGTTGATAGGTATTTGTCTGTTTGTCTGTCTGTTAGACACTTTCGTATGTTACGCAATATCTCACAAAAGAGAGGTTGAATCTGCATGTGCATTTATTTTCTCTCAGACCAGATTCCTATTGATTTTGGATTAATTATGTCGTATAATTATTGAGTTAATATTTAATTAATATGACTATGGATATATGACTTATTTAATAATGGATAACACATAGATGCAAGATTTGGTTCCCTACAGTTCAAATTATGTGATGAAGAGTGCATATATTAAAATATATATCAATAAATAAAATCTCGCCCCTCCTAAACGGATAAATATGTTGTTATAATTTGAAAATAGTGAAACTTTACAATTTTTGGCTATGTCGATTTCAAATAAATAGAACATTTTCAGTAACGGATCGCACGTTAATGCAAAATTTTGTTCCCAACAACTCAAATTGTATGATGCGCGACATATATATATACTACAATAGTTTTCAGTAATAAAAGCTCCCTCCTTTTAATCGAGAGGAATTGCTGCTGGGGTTTGAAGGTTGGGAAATTATATGCTTATACCGAGTTTTATGATGTAAATTATTTTTGACAATCAGTTACACTTAAATGCATTTAATCTGAATAATTTCCGATAATAAAAATTTTCTCCGCTCGTGCAGAAGCTGTGTTGACAAGGTTTGTAGTTTGGCATTACTCATTTTAGTTCTATTATTAGGAAAATCGATTTTTAACATAATCAATTCGTAGGCTTATCTTCGTGTAAGCATTTCTATTTGACTGCTAATTTTAAATCAGCAGTATTTCTTGTATTTTTTATGCCAAATCCTTCAATAATATTAATGCTTTCTTTTTCGGGGCTGGTATTTTCGTATGAGGAATTTTGTCATATAGGACAGGGGTGGTGTTACGGAACCGTTGAAGAAGTTGATTATTATTCAAGGATCCCACATTAAATTTTAACAATAAAACAAGCAAAACAACACATTGTTAATTGTGATGTGCTGGATTGTCCATTAGGCAAAATAAGCACGTGCCTAAGGAACCAAGGATGATAGGGCACCACAGAAATTTCCATATACGAACCGCAATGAATGCATTTATAAGAGAATGGAAGACTAATTGACCATCGCCTTCACATTGATTAGCTGATATTTCATCGGATTCGGATGAATAGAAAGATACATAGCACGCGCAGTTTACGCGCAGTGCATGGGGTAGCACGTTTTACCTGTCGCTCTTCAGCAGGGGCGTGCCAAACTTTTCTGCTGCCGTGGGCGAGTTTTTGATAATGATGCCCCTTATACCTAACTTCAAAAATATTTCGGGGGATAAACAGATTATAGATGTCATCATACATAAGAATGAATAAATTAAAAGTCAAGTAAGATAGAAACGTTTTGTTTTATTGAATGAGTATTCAAACTAGACAACAAACTCACATGTATAAGTGCAAACTCATTCATTAACAAAAAGAAAGTCACTTATTTCTATGTCCAATCACTAATTTTCTGGTAACAAATGTCTGAACGACAGCCTTCTTCGCCTTGATCTTCAGGAATTTCTTTTCGATGCAAATCAAAGATAAACTTGACAGATGCTAATTCGACATCGAAAACCTCGAATATTTTCTATATGTTTTACCTATGGGAAAGATCGTTCGCAAGTAGCAATTGAGTAGCCGATTGTGAGTAATAAACAATATGGGACATTTGCACCCATGAACGTTTGCACCCATGTAGCCTACATTTGCAGTTTACACACACGAACATTTGCACCCATGGAAAGTTGCACGAACGTAAATTTGCACCCCCAGACATTTGCACCCATGTACGTTCGGATTTGCGGTGAGTTCGTTTTCATTACCAAGTATAACATTAGGAGGTCCCTATTTTGGCACAAACAGCAATATATCCTCTTTCATAAATACTGGTATCAATGAGTGTAAATGTTTGGTGAAAATGTACATGAAACGTACAATTGTCCTGGGTGCAAATGTAAATGGTGCAAAGATAATGAAACCCAATGATTATACTGTGTTCTCATATATTTTAATTGCATCAATCATAAATCAGTACAAAAATAGCTGTGGTAGACAAGGCTAAAACAATTTACCGGTACTTTCAAATAACAGGGTTGAATATTTTGAATCAAAATGATTGTTTGAAACATATTAAACTAGTATGAGTTTTTTAATCGCGAAACCACCCTAAAATGGGCTCCCAAAATGTTGCAATTGTAAAATAGGATAAGAAGAATTTTTCTAGAGTCAATGGTCGAGAAAACATCCATCGTTGACTCTCCATCATCACAGTCGGTCACTCATAATTTCAGCTTTTGATTTGATACAAATCGGGAAAAACATGTATAACAACGCCTACTCTACAGCATGATTTTGCTGCCCTCTACAACGTGCTGCCCAGGGCGGCTGCCCCCCCCCCCCTCTAGGCACCCCACTGCTCTTCAGACAAAATTTAAGGTTTTTTTTTTTTTCAGTGTGTATGATATCATTTCAATCTATAACAGGGCATAACGTCGCTCCAATTTTGATTTGAGATGTTTTATAAATTCAGAAAAGTAAACTAGAAATACGACGGCCAGTTAGCACAAGAGACAGAAAGGATTAAATTAGTATTTTTCCTTTGACAGTCAGAAATTTGGTTTGCACATTCACTAATTTGAATTATCTTAGCATTTTCATTAAAAACTAAACTGAAATGAAACAAAAAATTAAAAGGGTAATTAACACATTAAATTGTTAAAGCAACGCACTTTATAGACCCAGATGAACGCTTTCAATTGAAGTATGAATACACCTGCTACGAATCAACGAAGCATGTTCAATGTAATTTTTCTTGAGTAATTGGGCTCGTCATAGGCTGGGAAGCGTAGAGACTTGTTCAAACATTAGGACCGTGGTTCGAACCTCACATGGTAGATTTAGTCGTAGGTGTTGACCAGCAGCCTGGGCAGACGGTCGAGGGGGAAAGGAGCAGGTGAGAGCAGGACCCAGCATGGTAGGGTAAAAATGAAGCGAGGAGACAAGTCAGAGTAAAATCAGCGAGGGTAAGATAAAGAAAGTAAGAGACAACAAAGAAAGTATGTAACAACAAACAGTAAAGAAAGTATAAGATGAGACAACAAAGAAAGAACAAAGAAACAACAAACAGTAAAGAAAAGAAAGCCAGCATGTTCGAGTAAGCAAAAACAAAATCTGCGGTCAGATAAGTCAAGGAAGAAGGTTGGAAGTTCCGGAAAAGTGAGAAAATAATCCGATATAATAATAAAGCCTGACAGGGGATGAGAAAAAATGAAGCGAGGAGACAAGTCAGAGTAAAATCAGCGAGGCTAAGATAAAGAAAGTAAAGAGACAACAAAGAAAGTATGTAACAACAAACAGTAAAGAAAGTATAAGATAAAGAAAGTAAGAGACATAATAACAACAAACAGTGAAGAAAGAAAGCCAGCATGTTCGAGTAAGCAAAAACAAAATCTGCGGTCAGATAAGTCAAGGAAGAAGGTTGGAAGTTCCGGAATAGTGAGAAAATAATCCGATATAATAATAAAGCCTGACAGGGGATGAGGATCTCGGGGCGGGAGAGGAGCGAGAGTGAAAATTACGAAAACCCCCCAAAAAAAGAATGAAAAGGAAAAACCCACTCGCTAGGAGAGAAAAACGGAGATAGTGATCGGAGCGAGAGTGAAAATTACGAATGTAATAAAAAAAATTCTGGGATGAGGATCCCAGTGATCGGGGCGGGAGAGGAGGCGAGAGTGAAAATTATGAAAACTCCCCAAATAAGAATGAAAAGGAAAAACCCACTCGCTAGGAGCGAAAAACGGAGTAGTGATCGGAGCGAGAGTGAAAATTACGAATGTAATTTCTATGAGAAAAAAAGGCCCTAACGAAAAGGCGGGACAACATAAATAATAAAAAATTCGGCGAGGGGCCTAAGAATAATGGAAAAAAGCAAAATGAAATAAAATAGAGGCCAGAAGCAAAAAATAATTAAGATTCAATGAAGAAGTCAAGGGTATAATATAAAATAGAGATGAAATGAAACAAAAAAAACCATGTGGACTGACTGAAGCAGAAATCCACTGAAAATAGAAACAGCAGCCAAGTTGCAAGAAGTGAAAAATTGAAAATAAAACCAGCCCTATTAGTAAAAGAAACAGAAGTGAGTGGAAATATAATTTCAGCGAGGCCTCAACGAAAACAGTAGGAGAAATGTGAAAAAAAAATAGAAAAATCATCGAGGCTGGCTGGAGCAGCAAGGAATTGTTTCTGCACAAAAATCATGAAAAATAACACTGGTCGACAAAAATATCTTTTCATGATGCCTATGATGTTTTAACCGTTTTTAACAAATTTGAGGGCGCTGATTCCAGAAATGATGTTACTTTTTCTCTATCAGGTCTAGTTTTTTCTTCTATGGTATATCCTAGAATTTCAGGACAGTTGTGATATTTAGCTTAGATTTTAATTTTCTTGTTTTCGCGACGGTGAATTTCATACTTGTTTAACATCATATCTGGCAACACTGTACAGACATATTTATTATTCAGTTGATTTTGATTCATCAATTGCCGGACTCTGAGAGATTCTGGTGCTGAGTTAATTAAACATGGATATGTGTAATTTAGTAATCTGTGAACGTTTAGGATGCCTTAACTTACCGTATAACATTGTCAGAACGCCAGCCCACACTCGTATGACGCTAGCCCACACTCGTTTTTGTTAGGCCATATTAGGAGTACGGTACCGGTACCGTAACTGGGCCTTGCGGGTCTCGTGTAGTTTCTTACCTAACATACTTTTAGTGGGCGTAGCATCACAATTTTTTGACATGTCAATCCTAACCCCCACCAGACTATGCCATCCAAAAATTACATCACTACGACGTCACAATCACGTCATAGAGCTTGTTAAATATACGTAATATCGCCCGAAATGGTATCGGCGCCGACGATAAAGAACGTACTAACGTCAGCGACTCTCTTATATTGGAATCGTCGCGACGTAAAAACGAGAGAAATAGCCGGTCGATTTCGGGTGCGCAGACGTGCGCGTCTTGGATGACAGTTCGTATAGTTTGAAGGTCTCTATTACGTCACTGTGACGTCGTAGAGACGTAATATTTGGATGGCGTAGTCCGGTGGGGGTTAGGATTGACACATGAAAAAATTGTTGCGCTATGCCCGCTAGAAGTATGTTAGGCAGGAAACTACATGAGACCCGGCCTTGCTTAGTTGTATTTGCGTTGTGTACGCTACCGGTACCGTATATCAGATATGGTCTCTATATTGTCAGAGCCACCAAGTTTTTATGTAATAACGTTTATAAAGTTAGTAAAATAGGGGCCTGGTACCGGTATAGTTTAGTACCACATCCACTTCACCAAGGTTACTCTAGCCCACAATTTGCCATTACACCGTTACGGTATGTGAACAAACCTGCGGTGGGGAAGAGTCCAGCAATCCTCCAGCACATAACCATCTCCGCATGGAATTCGAAGCTGCGAACCCACACAGAGTAATTAGAGGTGCAGTGGCGAGCGTATTCCTAATGCTTAGCACGATGAGCCACATCGCATAGGTAATAAAGGATAACCTAGTATTTTAATACCTGAGTACAGTCTATAGACAAATACTTTGGGTCGGTAACTAGAGTCAGAACTAAGTTAATTTAATCACTGGCCATCATTGGCAAATGCACAGGATTACAAATTTTTAAGTGAAAACGTTCTAAATCCAAACCGCAAGAAGCAATGCCCGAAATGAGTTTTCGAGTTTTAATGTTCGTTGTTTACTTTTTATCTTTGTTTGTTTATTAAAAAAAACAGTAGCTAACCACCTAAATGTTATTATTGGGATTTCGGCACAGGCACCATGACTTTTAATTGTTTTATCACCACGTTCGCTCATCAAAATTTATTTACAATTTTACAAGTAAACTTTGTCTGTGAATTTCACTTTCTCGTGTTCATGTACATGCTGTTTATTAATTATTTTTCAGTATAACTGTATGACTGCTGGGATGTGTTTTCCACTTGTGTGAGTGTCGGTAAATCTGCACAAGCGCTATAAACCTTTCTCTAGGTTTTGCCCATTTCTCGATCTTTTCGTCGCCCTTGTCTGTGTTTTTAATTTATTTTTATTTGTGCTCAGTGTTGTAGATGAAATATTGAAATAAAATTGTATTGTATACCTGAATAGACCACTGTAATAGTTTGTGATGAATTTTAAATCATGGAGCATAAAGAGCAGCAGGACGTCGAATTGGCATCAACGGTGACTGCTTTATTGTCTAAAGGTTCTAACACTCTAAAAAATAACAGTGAAAGGCGTGGAACTAAATCTAAGAAATCTCAATATGTTGGTTCATATGGAGATAAAGACTTCTATTCGTCATCTAAGCTTTTAACTAAATATATCAGAGATTATGACAAAAATCAAGTGTGGGATCTTGCTAAAGATTTAACAAATGCAGCGAAGTCACTTTCTCATAACGGGGACAAAGAAAATGAAGCGAATAAAGAAATTAATCTCGCCAAAAAGCTTCTTGGTAATACAAGATCCAGTGAGTGTGATGATATTAAGAGTATGACAACAGATGATCTTCTTGCATCCAATCCATACATCCCCCTTAGTGAAATCGATTTGAATAGTGTAAAACCTGAAAGAGAGAAGACTCGGTCTTTGAAAGTTTATTCTAGAATGCCGAAGCACTATACTCCTCGTTCAAGCACACAAGAAACAGCTTCAATGGAACACCGAAGTTCCTTGCATTTTTCTCACATCGCATCTAATCGAAGCAATACTACTCCAACAACCTCTGATACATTAGAAAGTACAATTCATGATGAATCTGAATTGAATTTATTCAGTTTGAATGGCACCTCATATACTCCGCATCGAGTTAAATATGGCCCATTAGTAAAAGAATTCAAACAGGTACCACAATCAACAGGAAATGGATGTAGTTTTTATAAAGATCGAGGTGACCATGTTTGCCAGTCTCCAACACCTACTAATTTATTAATTGATGAAAGACCTACGATTGATTACCCATATGCAGTTGATGCTGGCCGAACACCTTTTCGTACAAGAACGCTTCCAATTCATATCAATGACTCTAGTTTGGACAATAGTAGAGAGACACTCTTTAATAGTGATATGTCATTTGAGGAAACCCTAACAAGCAAGACTTTAGCGAAGAGTCTAGGCTCTTCGAGTCATATTTCAGTTCCCTTTCATATAGAAGATAAATCATCAGATATTAGAGGATTCATAGAAGATTGTTTAGCAGATGATATTACTACAAACCTTAGTACAAAACCTTCTGGTTCTGTCGAAACATTAAAAAATATGATTTTCACATTACAGAGTATTTCTTCTAATGATACCTCAAACGACCCCAATGAGAATGCTTTTATAAATGATGGTGACATAGTCATGGATGGACATAGGTCCCTCAGACAAGCTATGTCACATTTGTCAAATTTGAAAGATTTAACTCGAAGTGGTAACAGTTCATAGGTAGTTTTTGAGGCCTATTGCATTCAATAAATGAGAACACTATTATTTTCGAAGTCAAAATTATTGCTGTCAAACTTAGGCAAAAATATTGGTATATTTATTTTTAGCTTCATTTAGATTTTAGAACACTGTACTTTATCATGTTCGATTACGTTCGAATTTATATTATTCCTTAGTAATTTTGTTACCTCATGAATAAATACTTTTACAAATCATCTTATATATTTGCTTTGGGTATTATTCAGTGGCGTAAATCTTCGGAAATGTTCATGAAAAATTGTTATTACTTCTGTGACTCAATTTCGGTGTAGACGTTTGAAATGTTGTATAACTATATCGTTTGCTACCTACTAGTTTACACATGTATTACTGTGAATAATCCCGGAAGCTACCATTGCTATTCTGTGATTCTTTTGGGACAAAAATGATATAATGTTCTATGATAAGTTCGCTACTCAGCCACCTATATCTATGGATATGAATGTTTCGGACGGATATGAAATGTTATTTTATATTTCTTCCTTGCAACAATCATGATTCTGCATCTGTAATGTGTCATATGTAAGGCAATAAATTTCATTTTCTAGCTATCTATAATTTCTTTTCAAATATAAATTAAACCAAAGTCGGTCATGTGAGGAATGACGAATGACCCTATCCAAATTGTAGATGATCATGAATTTGAATCATCATGAACTTCACCTTAAGTGACAATTTTGATTTAATATAATGCTTGTTTCCGTAGTATAGTCGTCATCATCAAAATTTGGAATCATTTATATTGTTTATTTTGTAGTGAATTGTCATTATTACTTATTGATTTTAATCGGTAAGTATGTTGATAGGTATTTGTCTGTCTGTTAGATGCACGCGATATCTCATGAAAGCGAGATTGAATCTGCGCCAGATTTTGCATGTGCATCCATCTTATCTCGGACCAGAAGCCTATTGTGTTTTGGCGAATTATGTCGTATAATTAGCGAGTCATTAATTAATTTGTGATGGGACACAAGGTGTCACTATGGAGTAAGAGCGCTGTTTTCGCTAAGCTAACTTTCGATCGATAAGTCTTCGGTCTCTGACCGATATTCTCGTTTTCTTATTCATAGCTTTTATTTTAATTTAATTGATAAACTAGTTGACTCAAATTTGACTGAATATTGCCTAATATCTGTCAAAATACAACTGTTGCCCGGAATACACCATCTTACACGATTCCCAATAAAGTTTGACAAAAACAAATCTTGCCTTATTCGATTATGGTATAACAAAATATATTCATAAATGGTAATTGTCATGACATTTTGTTCGATTATATATTCGTACTTCCATATCTTTGCATATTTCTAGATAATCATTTTACTTCTAGTCTAGTCACGTTCAATATTTATAATTATCTATTTTGTAGAATTATATTTAAATATCACAATCTTAATATAATAATGGAGCCACCGGTCAAAAAGAGTTATTATAGAAAAGATATTTCTAAAGAAGAATCAGACGAAAGTGATGAAGAGGAATATGTTCCGTATGTCCCATTGAAACACAGAAGACAAGAAAAATTATCTCGGGTTCAACAATTATTATCAAATCGAGCAGGTTATGGATCACCAGGAAGAAAAGAAGGAAGCAATGATGAAGGTTTCATGATGCGTATTTTATGTTTTAATTTACTATATATCTATGCATAGTTCATGTAGAAGAAAAGACTAGGACACTGCTTCTTAAACTTTTATTTGTGGCCCCTTCCACTTCTGGCTTCCTGCTTTTCCATAAAAACACATGGATTTGCTCTTGACACATTCTGCAGTTATTTTATGCATCGTGTTTAATAATTAAAAAAAATGCATTAGGCCAAACAATTGAATCGCAGTCATTTACCAGTCAATTATTGAATCTTTTTTGATAGTTGATTAATTTCAATTTAATTTATATTTTCATGGTGATTTGTCGTGATTAATGTGAATGCTTTTCTGTCCGAATATCTTGTTATTCCCAATTTAATCTTAGTCAAAATTTATCACCACGTTCGCTCATCAAAATTTATTTACAATTTTACAAGTAAACTTTGTCTGTGAATTTCACTTTCTCGTGTTCATGTACATGCTGTTTATTAATTATTTTTCAGTATAACTGTATGACTGCTGGGATGTGTTTTCCACTTGTGTGAGTGTCGGTAAATCTGCACAAGCGCTATAAACCTTTCTCTAGGTTTTGCCCATTTCTCGATCTTTTCGTCGCCCTTGTCTGTGTTTTTAATTTATTTTTATTTGTGCTCAGTGTTGTAGATGAAATATTGAAATAAAATTGTATTGTATACCTGAATAGACCACTGTAATAGTTTGTGATGAATTTTAAATCATGGAGCATAAAGAGCAGCAGGACGTCGAATTGGCATCAACGGTGACTGCTTTATTGTCTAAAGGTTCTAACACTCTAAAAAATAACAGTGAAAGGCGTGGAACTAAATCTAAGAAATCTCAATATGTTGGTTCATATGGAGATAAAGACTTCTATTCGTCATCTAAGCTTTTAACTAAATATATCAGAGATTATGACAAAAATCAAGTGTGGGATCTTGCTAAAGATTTAACAAATGCAGCGAAGTCACTTTCTCATAACGGGGACAAAGAAAATGAAGCGAATAAAGAAATTAATCTCGCCAAAAAGCTTCTTGGTAATACAAGATCCAGTGAGTGTGATGATATTAAGAGTATGACAACAGATGATCTTCTTGCATCCAATCCATACATCCCCCTTAGTGAAATCGATTTGAATAGTGTAAAACCTGAAAGAGAGAAGACTCGGTCTTTGAAAGTTTATTCTAGAATGCCGAAGCACTATACTCCTCGTTCAAGCACACAAGAAACAGCTTCAATGGAACACCGAAGTTCCTTGCATTTTTCTCACATCGCATCTAATCGAAGCAATACTACTCCAACAACCTCTGATACATTAGAAAGTACAATTCATGATGAATCTGAATTGAATTTATTCAGTTTGAATGGCACCTCATATACTCCGCATCGAGTTAAATATGGCCCATTAGTAAAAGAATTCAAACAGGTACCACAATCAACAGGAAATGGATGTAGTTTTTATAAAGATCGAGGTGACCATGTTTGCCAGTCTCCAACACCTACTAATTTATTAATTGATGAAAGACCTACGATTGATTACCCATATGCAGTTGATGCTGGCCGAACACCTTTTCGTACAAGAACGCTTCCAATTCATATCAATGACTCTAGTTTGGACAATAGTAGAGAGACACTCTTTAATAGTGATATGTCATTTGAGGAAACCCTAACAAGCAAGACTTTAGCGAAGAGTCTAGGCTCTTCGAGTCATATTTCAGTTCCCTTTCATATAGAAGATGACTCATCAGATATTAGAGGATTCATAGAAGATTGTTTAGCAGATGATATTACTACAAACCTTAGTACAAAACCTTCTGGTTCTGTCGAAACATTAAAAAATATGATTTTCACATTACAGAGTATTTCTTCTAATGATACCTCAAACGACCCCAATGAGAATGCTTTTATAAATGATGGTGACATAGTCATGGATGGACATAGGTCCCTCAGACAAGCTATGTCACATTTGTCAAATTTGAAAGATTTAACTCGAAGTGGTAACAGTTCCTAGGTAGTTTTTGAGGCCTATTGCATTCAATAAATGAGAACACTATTATTTTCGAAGTCAAAATTATTGCTGTCAAACTTAGGCAAAAATATTGGTATATTTATTTTTAGCTTCATTTAGATTTTAGAACACTGTACTTTATCATGTTCGATTACGTTCGAATTTATATTATTCCTTAGTAATTTTGTTACCTCATGAATAAATACTTTTACAAATCATCTTATATATTTGCTTTGGGTATTATTCAGTGGCGTAAATCTTCGGAAATGTTCATGAAAAATTGTTATTACTTCTGTGACTCAATTTCGGTGTAGACGTTTGAAATGTTGTATAACTATATCGTTTGCTACCTACTAGTTTACACATGTATTACTGTGAATAATCCCGGAAGCTACCATTGCTATTCTGTGATTCTTTTGGGACAAAAATGATATAATGTTCTATGATAAGTTCGCTACTCAGCCACCTATATCTATGGATATGAATGTTTCGGACGGATATGAAATGTTATTTTATATTTCTTCCTTGCAACAATCATGATTCTGCATCTGTAATGTGTCATATGTAAGGCAATAAATTTCATTTTCTAGCTATCTATAATTTCTTTTCAAATATAAATTAAACCAAAGTCGGTCATGTGAGGAATGACGAATGACCCTATCCAAATTGTAGATGATCATGAATTTGAATCATCATGAACTTCACCTTAAGTGACAATTTTGATTTAATATAATGCTTGTTTCCGTAGTATAGTCGTCATCATCAAAATTTGGAATCATTTATATTGTTTATTTTGTAGTGAATTGTCATTATTACTTATTGATTTTAATCGGTAAGTATGTTGATAGGTATTTGTCTGTCTGTTAGATGCACGCGATATCTCATGAAAGCGAGATTGAATCTGCGCCAGATTTTGCATGTGCATCCATCTTATCTCGGACCAGAAGCCTATTGTGTTTTGGCGAATTATGTCGTATAATTAGCGAGTCATTAATTAATTTGTGATGGGACACAAGGTGTCACTATGGAGTAAGAGCGCTGTTTTCGCTAAGCTAACTTTCGATCGATAAGTCTTCGGTCTCTGACCGATATTCTCGTTTTCTTATTCATAGCTTTTATTTTAATTTAATTGATAAACTAGTTGACTCAAATTTGACTGAATATTGCCTAATATCTGTCAAAATACAACTGTTGCCCGGAATACACCATCTTACACGATTCCCAATAAAGTTTGACAAAAACAAATCTTGCCTTATTCGATTATGGTATAACAAAATATATTCATAAATGGTAATTGTCATGACATTTTGTTCGATTATATATTCGTACTTCCATATCTTTGCATATTTCTAGATAATCATTTTACTTCTAGTCTAGTCACGTTCAATATTTATAATTATCTATTTTGTAGAATTATATTTAAATATCACAATCTTAATATAATAATGGAGCCACCGGTCAAAAAGAGTTATTATAGAAAAGATATTTCTAAAGAAGAATCAGACGAAAGTGATGAAGAGGAATATGTTCCGTATGTCCCATTGAAACACAGAAGACAAGAAAAATTATCTCGGGTTCAACAATTATTATCAAATCGAGCAGGTTATGGATCACCAGGAAGAAAAGAAGGAAGCAATGATGAAGGTTTCATGATGCGTATTTTATGTTTTAATTTACTATATATCTATGCATAGTTCATGTAGAAGAAAAGACTAGGACACTGCTTCTTAAACTTTTATTTGTGGCCCCTTCCACTTCTGGCTTCCTGCTTTTCCATAAAAACACATGGATTTGCTCTTGACACATTCTGCAGTTATTTTATGCATCGTGTTTAATAATTAAAAAAAATGCATTAGGCCAAACAATTGAATCGCAGTCATTTACCAGTCAATTATTGAATCTTTTTTGATAGTTGATTAATTTCAATTTAATTTATATTTTCATGGTGATTTGTCGTGATTAATGTGAATGCTTTTCTGTCCGAATATCTTGTTATTCCCAATTTAATCTTAGTCAAAATTTTTCATACTTTTTTTCCATACTCAGAGTCAAAATTTTCAAAGCCAGGATTTGAAGTCACTTTTTTAATAAATGGCTCAGAGGTCATAAAATTGAGTCATCTATGTGCATGGACTTTTGGTTAGATCAAATGTGGCGGGCAGTAATTTGTATTATAGACTATAGTACTTCATGATAATAATTTTTCTGCTTCCAAAACTGTGAATTGAACTACTGTTTCTACTAATTTCAGGGGGCAGTGGTAGCAATACTCCAGAACATTTTGCAGAGAGAGATGTTGAAGGTCCGATTGCTCCACAAGATTTACCTGGTCCACAATCACATATTAGTTTACTTGATCAACATAGCACTTTAAAGAAAAAAGCTGAAGAAGTTCGAGAAACTGCAAAAGATATCCAAGTAAAATAAATATTATTACTCCAGTTACAGTCCTGTATGAATATACTGGAGTCCAGTATAATCATACAGGACTGTACTTGGGAAAGATTTACAAACGACTTTAGGTTGTTAAGAATTTGACACTTGCTCCTGACTATTTTCTGCTAAACAACAGTTTTTGCCATTTTTCACAAAAACATATTCATTGACTATTTAGTAATATTCCTTTTTTGATTTGATCGAGAGAAAATTCATTTTATTGAGCTATAAGAATAGCCTATTATTTGGAAAATCTTGGATTTTTGTTTGCAAGGAATTTGTATAAAATGCTATTATCAACGATAATCTTACTTTTATCCCTATCATAATATATGTTATCTACAGATAAAAGAAGAGCAGAAAATCTTAGAATCTGTAACGGAAGGTCGAGCTTTGTTATCGGTACAAGAATTAGCTCAGGGCATCACCTATGCCCAGGCTCTCAAGACAAGTTGGAGACCTCCCAAGTATGGTTATTTATCAAAGTTATCATTTTTAGCAATCAAACTCTAAAATTATTACCAAAGTACCTTTATTCAATTCTTAAAAGCTGTGAAGATAAAAAAAAAAAATGAATTCAAACTCATAGAATATACATTGTTTCACGTTGAACATGGCCCAATTTAGAATATATTCGATATTCCACATTTGAAAAGGTCATTCTAAGGAAGGGGTGTACAAAATGACGATAGATTCAACGCAGCGAAAAAAACATGCTTTTTTACTCATGTGACGCGAGCCCCTTTTTATACATGAACTGTTCAATTAGAATTTTTGCTTGATGGGGAGAAATCTGAGTGTTGACAAGGGCCACAACAAAAGGTCGTGTTGTGGCCAGCTGTTGCACACCCCTGTTTTAGTTGGAATATATTCTAATCTAATAAGTAAAGTATTCATTTCTTGTCATTCTTGGCTACAGAAATTTTGTCTAAAAGTGTCGTAAGTGATTCAATAGTCTTGCTGCACACTAACACAAATATATTTCTGTAATGTTTCGCCTGACCAAGGTCAGACTTCATCAGACATACATAGTTCAACTAAACCCAATCAATAGTGTAAAATTGCCATTTTGGAACATTTCATTTTTTCTATATTCCAGGTTTATCAGGGACAGAACAAATGCAGCGAATGATAAAATCAGGTTTGAGTTAAGAATTGATGATGAAGGAGAAGATGTCTCACCACCTATCCCTTCATTTCGTGACATGAAATTTCCTAAACCGATTTTACATGCTTTGAAGAAAAAAGGAATCAAGCAACCAACTCCTATTCAAACACAGGTAAATACTGAATTGCAGAGTTCAGCGATGTTGACAGTTGAACTTGTGGTCAGATTGGAAATTCCATGCTTAGTTTGGACTGAACCATGAGACCTTACGTCCAGCAACTAGTTGATGTCGGGCATAGGAATAATTTGATGCTTCCATCACCAATCTAATGCACAAATTGTAATTATTTGTTAAATTCACAATGATATGGCATGCATTGCTAATTCACAAATTTTGTGCTTTCAGGGAATACCTGTTGTTTTATCTGGACGTGACATGATTGGAATTGCATTTACAGGGAGTGGTAAAACAATGGTCTTCTCATTACCAATAATCATGTTTTGTCTTGAGCAAGAGAAAAAACTTCCTTTTCAATCAAATGAAGGACCTTATGGATTGATAGTTTGTCCGTCGCGAGAATTGGCAAGGCAGACACAACAGGTACTTTCGAAAATAATCTGCTAGTTTCGTTCGACTTTGCAATACTGACTTCCGTCTATTTTTTGAGTTTGTTAGATTGTTTGCATTAGTTTGGTCTACTTTGGTTCTGTTAGCAAAGATTGGTTTCTAGAACTAAATTCGTGGTGGTGTGGTTTTCCACGACCCATGCAGCAGTTCTCTGGTCCTTCCAGGTACAATTCACTATGAGTGATGTTCAATCCTTTGCATATTCAGTTATTTTTCCGCTTGTTGCCTTTTCGTAATGACACATGTATTAGCTTATGGAAGCTTGTCAAAGCGGAACCAGGTATTTTTATATGAGATCATGGCAGAGGGCACGAATGTTGAGTCTTTGGAAGGGGGCACAGCTCAGGAGTCACAGATTTAGAATCTTCACCCTAGACAGCTACACTATTGGTATTGCATTCAAATTTCGGACCTCCTGAAGTATGCGCACCAAGAAAGCGCACAACCTGAACTCAGGTTGTGTACCAGATTAGGGTTCAGGTTGTGTGACATCTTGGTACGCATACTTCAGGAGTACCCAAATTTCTTACTTGTATGACATGGAAAATTTTCTTTATATTCCTTTTACAATGTTATTAATAATTACTAGACAACGTTTTATATTATTTAGGTAATCGATTACTTCTGTCGACATCTTGAGGCAGATGGCAATCCACGATTGAATACGTCATTATGCATTGGAGGATTACCAGTCAAAGATACTCTTGACGTCATCAGAAAAGGTTGTCATATCATGGTGGCTACTCCAGGTCGTCTAATGGACATGCTTGACAAGAAAAGATTCAATTTGGGTGTTTGCAGGTAAACTGCTCTCATGCTCATCTGCTAGCTATTTTATAACTTGAAAACTGTGTATTTTGATTTACATTACTATTTCCTTTTCAAAAGCTATCCAATTAGCCACAGTGGTCATATTTTTAATTCATAATACTGTAAATTGAGTTATATTATTTCCATTTTGTATTTTAGTCACTATTCTATTCTAATCTTTATCATATTCATCCATTCCTCATACTTCTTAATAATTTTTTTTGCCTTCCAATTTAGATACTTGTGCCTTGATGAAGCAGACAGAATGATCGACATGGGTTTTGAAGAAGATGTCAGAACTATATTTTCTTATTTTAAAGGACAGAGACAAACTTTATTGTTTAGGTATTCAATATTTTCGTACATTTTATGCAATATTTAATTCATTTATTTTTGATCTGAAATCATAGTCACAAATATAAATGCTTGTCAGATTTCTGTAAAGCAGTGGTTTCACTTTTCAGATATTCTTCCCGTCACCTGTTTTGAAATTCTCCTTTCCCACCACTTCCCCCTATGCTGAATGATTAATAAACAACTAAAGCACATAAATTCAAGATTTTTTCCATTTGGATAGTTTACATTATCACCAATGCTGTATTACACTATAATAATATCGGCTTCCCTCTCGCCCAGGATATATATGGCAATCCTATCCTATTCTAAATAATAAATCCAAAGGTATTTCTTGATATTTATAGTCTTTGTATCAACTTATTTGAAATGGTAATTTTTTCTTAAAATTTAAATTATTTTATTGTACAGTGCAACCATGCCAAAGAAAATTCAAAATTTTGCAAGATCTGCGTTAGTTAGACCCGTCACTGTTAATGTTGGAAGAGCTGGTGCAGCTAGTTTGGATGTTGTTCAGGAGGTAATTATTATCTTGTTAGTGTAGTGTTAATCAAAATAATTCTCATGTTACTTGGCTTTTGTGGACATATTGTCTGGGAATAAATGGAAAGAAATCTTAAATGCAAATTTGGTCCAGTCTAAACAATCATATTCTTATTTTGTGAGTATGGGCATCTAAAGTTTCGACTCTCAACTTTGAGGAATTTAAAAGCTTGACTTCAATTCCATCATATAAATGACAGGCTATTACTTCAAAAGATTGAATACCAAACTAACATATTTTTTGTGTAGAACTCCCTTTTTCTTTCATTAACAATTCCTAAACATTTGTATCTGTGGCAATATGATACATCCAAAGTGAATCAAATACTTGAATACATTTAAAATTGTTGATATGGGATATGCTGTAGAAAATATATAATTTTGGAAATAATTTTTTTCATTGGAAAAATATCATTTACAATATATTCTGTATTTCTAAATTCATTTTGTATCAATGTAATTGCAGATTTGCAATACTTGGAATAAAAAATAGTACGGTATTTATAACTCTCTCTTTAATTCTTTTAAGGTTGAATATGTGAAGGAAGAAGCCAAAGTAGTTTACCTGTTGGAATGTTTGCAAAAAACTCCGCCACCAGTTCTTGTGTTTGCACAGAAGAAAAATGATGTTGACGATATACATGAATATCTACTTTTGAAGGTTGGTTGCATACACATTATTTTATGAATATGGATTATTATTGTCCAAGTATATTATTCAAGTATTGTTTAATAACAATATTTATATTTGTTTCTAGTCTGGTGTTTTAACTTTTCTTCTTCCGATAAATTAATACCTAAATGTTTCAAATAATCATACAGGAATAATTATTCGCTATTGCTACTCTTCATTTGATGTATCAGTTTATATACCTGGCAATTTTGCTATTTTAATAGTGATAATTCTAAGTGATTCAAGGGTCTTGCTGTACACTAACACAAATATATTTTTGTAACATTTCATCTAAGACTTCCTTCGGAATTGCTGAATTAGCTTCCCATCCATGCTTCTGGTTAGCGTTTAATTAATCTATTCTCATACTTGACCGGGACTTGTATCCATACAAGGAGCACTTATTTGTCATATGATTAGACCATCCTGTCGGCTTCAGTCTCTGACCCACTGCCAGATGAATATGAAAATTTTATCGTGAATTCATTCTGTTGTTTTATTCAGGGAGTGGAAGCAGCTGCTGTTCATGGTGGAAAAGATCAAGAAGAAAGAAGTAAATCGATTGATATGTTCAGAAATAGAGAAAAGGTAAACAATTTTTTTTCTATTGATGGTAGTTTTCAACTTTGATTTATTCATAATATTTATCTACCGAAATACCAGCGGTGATGAATTTTACGTTTCATTCAATCAGATGATATATGTCTACTCCGTTTTTTTACTCATCACTGTACCATATTGGAAAAATAATGGCATGTATGGTGTTAAAATCAGTCGTAAACGAAATAAATTACAATGATTGGTGAATTCTTAATTATTTTTTTTTATTTGTTACAGGATGTTCTAGTAGCTACAGATGTTGCTTCCAAAGGTCTTGATTTTCCTGCCATAATGCACGTTATCAACTATGATATGCCGGAAGATATTGAGAATTATGTTCATCGTATTGGACGTACTGGTAGATCAGGAAAGACTGGACTTGCTACAACTTTTATTAACAAGGTAATATTAATGTGGCCCATTCTTTTTGCTAATAATTAATAACTGTGATTATCCGACTAATTTTCTGAACATATTTAGCATATTCATTATATTTTTGATAAGCTCATAACGGTGCCCAACAGTTGAATAAATCAACATACCGTATACAATTTGATAATGTAAAAATCTTTTAACTAAATTATGTTGGCATGGCCATAGGTGAGGATACATTGAAAAACTTATTTATCTGTTCAATGTTCCTATTTCACTTCAGTGTACACATTGGGTACTCCCGTAGTATGTGTACTAGATTACAGTTAGGCCATAATTTTATTCCGATTTTCCCTTATTTTAGTTCTATTAAGAGTTCAGGGACTATCTGCTTTAGCCAAGTGAATATTCCTCCTGCCCATAGGTTTCAGTCCCCTTACACACTTGATGTAAAGTAGGCGCGCAAAATTAGTTACCTCCATATTGGTACATGTACTTCTGGAGGCCCACATAATGTTTTGCAGAATGACTGATGATATTTTTGTTCAGATTTTTCCTTTCTATGTCGTAGTTCAGAGATGTAAGATAACTAGACTGAAAATAACAATTTCACTCAATGAGATATTTCTGTGAAAAAGTTTGGGATTAGTGATTGAGGCTTGAATATAGTTTGGATATAAAACAATATTATTCTCTCTTGTTTTGTGTTTGCTATCACCTAACAGTTGAAAGCGCTGATCTTGACAGTGTTGGCATCACAGGTTATACCTGGCACAGGCACCCAGGGTGTAATAACTTGAGTAGGTAACTCAAGCTTGAGTAGGTAATGCTGAAACGGAAAGATTCTGGTCCTTACAAAAATATTAGCTTGTTACAGTTTGTACCGGGTATTGTGAATGAGCATCTTATAAAATTTAGAAGATAAGTCATTTCTTGTTAATTCTATCATATGGGTAATGAATGCTTTTGCGTATCATGTTCCCTTGTTTATAGAGTTTGATTAGTTGGCTATTCCCATTAAAACAAATGCAAAAATCTTGTCAATTCTCATGAAACTTGTATAGAATAATCTGTTTTTATTTTATATTTTTAGTCGTGTGATGAATCATTGCTGCTGGATTTGAAGGCTCTCCTTATCGAAGCAAAACAGAAAGTTCCTGTTTTTCTTCAAGAAATTGGTCCAGACGATGCATCCTACTTGGAATTGGGTGGAGAAAGAGGTTGCGCTTATTGTGGTGGTCTCGGTCACAGAATTACAGATTGTCCGAAGTTAGACGCGGTCAAATCGAAACAAATTTCGAACATGGGGAGACAGGATTATCTTGCAAGCAATGCTGCAGATTATTAAGGTTTCTGAGAAGCATGGTGACCACAGCGTTGTTTATGGTCAGTTTGATGAAATATATAATGCTGGGGTCTTGAGGTGGATCTTTTTGAAGTGCACTCATATGGAAAGGTTAAAGCAGCATAATTTGTCTACGGATTGCTCTGTCAAAGGAGTATGCATTCACAAGGATTGCACAAAAGTGTATTGGAGAGAACTGATTCTGGGCATTTCTATTCTAAACTGACATCGGATTTCAAGAAAGGAAATGTGTTTGTGAGAAACTTACTCATTTTAAAGAAGAGGTGATAGGTCGCGAAAACTTTGATAATCCTTCCAAAAATGTCTTTGGAACTCATTAACGAAAAGCTCTGGCAAACTAAGCCCCTCGAGTTATCTTGAGAAGAATCCTAATTAGAGCTACAATTTTCTTGGAAGTGAGATATTGTAACAATGAGACGTAAACTGTTTAGAATTGTGATAAGATGAACATTGTTTTTCTTTTTTCAGATACTATGATATGTCTATATTTTTATAAAATTTATGTGTTGAAACAAATAGATGATATGACATAAATTTCAACCATCTGACTAATTGTTTGTAATTATGGACAACAGCTTTCACCAGCATAAAAGCTTAGAAGGATATGTAATTAATCTGCCAGAAAAGCCTATGGATGAAACATTTTGGGCATTTTTAACATTTCAGGCAATTCAAATCAGTGATTCTCAACATCTTGTGGCACCGCATACTATTGAGATGCTGAAAAACTGATTTCGTACGTTCAGGAAAGGATAGGATTTACATATTTATCCCAAGGCAGAGGAATCGTCTGGTTACCTGTGCATGTCGGTTATGGGCATAGTTGGTCATCTAGCTGTTTTCAGATGCATGAAGTGGATGCTGGAGGAAGCCGTGACCAACCAGGCAGGGTAAACAATCGTATTCCCAAAGCTTGACACGATTCGCTACACCTGCCGTAGCAGAAAAGTTATATAAGTCCCACATGTACAAATAACATGAGAATTCTTTCTCGTGTCAAAAACGTCTTGGGCTTGTAATACGGCGATAGTCACGGTTTTCAATCCTGTGGAGTTTGGGCAAATTTAGGTCTGCCCACGATGTAGTTCAAAATTGAATCCGGGTTGAAAAAATGTTGACCATGGCTCTTAAATATAATTTTGAGCTCGAGAAAATCAAATGTAGATAACAAATTCTTGGCACAAGCTATTTGGTATAAACTGTTGAGATCGCTTAGTCGAGTTAATTTGTTCGCATTTCCTATTAAATATTTTTACCGTTGGTATCAACATTTGAAGTATTCAGGACCTGGAAAGTCAAAGTTGCGATCACGGGACGTTTGAAAACACGGGTCCAACCGTTTTTTTTTTCTGATTGCGAAATACTTACGTCGGTACCGAGCGTACAATATCAATTTTAACATTTCCATGTCTCTTTTTTTCTACACTTATCCCGGAAAGCCGATAAGACTGCCTAACCATATGGCAAACTGCGAACTCTATCCGTGTCGGATATCAAAATATATATATATATAGTAGTTTAAACCTGGTAGAAGAGTACATTGGTGTGAAGAAACAGAAACCTATGTTTTTTAACAAGCTTTGCTTCAAACGCGTCCCATCCGCTAACAAATTCGTTGAACAAAATATTTCCCAAATAATATTATCTACATATGATATAACAACAATTAGGACTCTCTGTAATGTCTGAAATATGAAACACACTCACTGGCGCAATCAAGGCCAATATTGGAAAAAGCATAACTGTCCACATCACAGCTTGTGAACCAGCCATGAGAATATTTTTCTTGTTACATGTATTTGATATACCATGCACGACAATTTTCAATTCAAGTAACGCAATAAATGAAATTTGAAATTACTTTAAAACAGTTGAACAAAGAGAACTTCGAGATGTCATAGGAACTTACTTGAAATATATATAGCCTATAATATAATTCGAAAAAATATTGACGATTTATATATATATTCACTGATAAACGAGATGATTGTAAGTGCAATCCACGTATGAAATGTTCAATAAATATTATTTTTAGTCATCAAGATATTGTTTATAAAATCCTATGTCACATTATTATTTTTGGAGACTCCGCACATAAGGCGATGTTCCCTTAGGTTTGGAATAAAGACGTTGAGTCGTGTCATTATCAAAGGCGAAACAAAAATAAGTTTCACGGACGATCAAAATGTGTGATAGGATATTTTTAACCATTTAAAGTGGTTTGAAATTACTCTTATTTGTGATAAAGTTATGTGAACATTTAAAATTTTCAATTCAAATAAAATACATACAATTATTATACAATACGCATAATATATATAAATAAATGCTTTACTTATGGATTAGAGAGCTATTATTTCTTTATGGAAATTTCAGTGAAACGGCAACAAATAGATTATTCAATATTGCCTTTGCTGGCATTTTGAGGTCTTTGTGTTAGTTAGTTAGCAGAAAACACAACGCAGAACTACACCAGAATTGTATCAGCGATTGGCGCATCACGATTCTGGACAAACGATTGGTAATAATTGACCACGACATCTAACGATACATCAGATGTATTAGTCCTCGGTTGTAGCTTGTTTAGCTTTAGAGTCTTGATTTTCCACTATATTCGATTTCTGCAATGATATAAAAATTCTTGATTTTAAAATTGTGGTGCCCGTTTTTTTAATATTATGCAGGCATCATGTAAATCTGATAAAAAAAAATTGTTGGATATATTAATTCCTGATTAGCGGTCTAATGAAAGTCATCGTAAACAGGGGTAAAATGAAACTAAACGTAGACCGGTGTGTATTTACAAACTTAATAATTTAGTAATAGCTGCGAATTTGAAATTTCAATCAAATTAACCTTCAATTTTCTTGCATAGAGTAAGTCATTTCTCATTTCTTCAACGTCTCTTTTATACTTAGCTCTCCGATTTTGAAACCAAGTTATTACCTGTGAAATGAAATACAAATATTAATTAATAGGAATCCATTACAAATACTATAATAATATATTATTCAAACTTTTCATTGCAGTGTACTGAAAAGTCGGTTGAGACTTAACTCGCATGATTTTCAGCCTTTATGCTTCTGTGCGTTTTGTCGCCTAGGCCTGAGGGTCAGTGTTAATTTTTTACGAAAACATCCCAACCAAATACGTTTTATTAGTTTTCTTCCGTTTTTACCTGAGCTGATGATAAGTTTAAATTGTTGGCAATTCTGTCTCGGTCTGAGGGTGTTAAATATTTTTGTTTACGGAAAACTTTTTCAAGTTCTGATAGTTGTTGTGCGGTGAATGCAGTTCTGGACTTTCTTCGTCTGGAATGAGTTGGAACTTTCTTTTCTAACAATCTTTTGATTGGACAAATATCTGCAACAATAATGAAATAAAATCGCTTTGTTTCTGTTCTTCCATTTTATGAGAAAATTGTTTTAAATCCTTCAAATTTAGCCATAACGATGGCAAATATTGCAACATTGCTGAAGTAAAATTTTAACAAGGTCTCAGATTCAAAATTTTCGTCAATGTTAATTTTAAGAAAAAGCAGAGGAATAACTACAAAGTACAAACAATTCTTTTTACTGTAAAATTCCAAGCAATTTTTCAACTGAGTTAACTCATTTTTAGAAAAACGCTCATGCGTCCGTGGATTCAAATGGGGAGTGGGTCCATATATCCGCTTCTATTCCAATTTAAAAATAGCTATTCACTACCACGAACATCATTTTTACAAATATAATACTAAATTTTTTTTATATATGCTAATATTTATTTCTGAAAAATTTAATACAATATCCGATATCTAAATATAGCTAAATGCTATCATTTATTGAATTTACCTGAACTTTTTGGCATGAATTTCACCGATGTCAACATTTCTAATTTGAACAACGGGGAATCGGAGGGGTATTTTGACCCACCCACCTCCGGCGGTTTTTCTTCCTTTAAGTTCTTGTTAATTTGTTCACAATTTTCTAATTCTTTCGTGTTCCTTGCTGAACTTTTAGTATCATGTTTTGTTTGTTCGAATTTATTGAAAAAATCGGAATTCCTGAACACTACTCCAGTTTCTTCAGATATTTTGAGATAATATCGACGAAAATTATTCCAGTATAGCTTCCACCATAATAAACTTTGATCAGATGCGATGGAATTTCTTTTGTATTCCAGCCAGAATAAATCATAATTTGCTTGGCAAGATAGGAATGCTTGGTCTGGGGTCGTTTGGAGATTATTCCTTTCTGGTCTTTTCAAAATATCTTCTATATAAAAACTCGTCCTTCCCATAATATAAGTTTACTTTAGAACTGAGAATTATGTGACACAGGATTGAGCAAATTGTCATATATATATACTGTTCAATGAAAATAAAAGTTTTTCAGTACCGCTGTATTTCAAATACTGTTATATCTCATTCTACTAATGTACAGATACTAATAACCAAGTTTCGGCAAACAAAACATTGCATAGTATATGAAAAATCTGGATCAGCCCATTCTCTTCAAAAAACGCGCTGCTCAGTTAGAATTCTTTTTATTCACCATAAGCCTACACAAGATATAATATACTTGAAATGAGTACAGCGTGAAAACTATTATCATCTAAAGCTTCAAATTCTCTATAAATTCCCCGCAACCAGTCCTAAACACACTTCACAAGCGTTCAAATTTGTCCACATAAAGTAACCGCCAACGTAAAATAACAACTATTTAATATTGCGCCGCCATTTTTTCCTCCTCGGCGTTTCGTCGAGCGACCCCCGTGAAATTATTTTTCGGAAGTGGCAAAGTTTTATTATCTCCACTGTTAAATTATTTTAGTAAAATTCACTTGAAAATTGAGCAATTTGTATGAATCAATCAAGTTAAGTACGACCTATAATAAACGTATGATGATAAGTGAATTCGTCTACGGTGCATGTGTAAATAGACATTGACTAAAGATCAATTTATAACCCGATTCATAGCTTATATTACCTATGTTTTAATATATTTTACCAAATATTCAAAAGTATGGCAATAAACTCCTAAGCAATTTCATCTAATCAATTACTCAATTAACCTCAATTTGCAAACCAAACATTTTGATAAAAGCTCTCAAAAACTCGGCATGACTTTTCCGCAAAATCATAAATAACTCATTTAGCGAGAGATAATAATTCTATCTAACGTGTCTAGGTGATTGAATACCATGTTACCTTCAACTATAATCGTCTCGTAAGCCCTTGATATGAATCACGCGTGCGAAACACATTTAACCCTCGTTTGGCAAATACGTATGAAGAATATACATGTCAAAATATATATGCTTATATTATTTGAAGCTAATGTTGATTGTGGCTTAGTTACAGGTATTATTCAGGGTGATAACTCATATTTATTTTAATTACTTCTAGAAACTTGAAGAATTTATTTAATACTTGAAACTCTGTTTGTGTGTGATCGAACGCATAAGTTCCAATAATCTAGGACACTTTACACAAAATTTATGTTGAGTCAAATTACCTGGGTTCTGTTTTTAGATAATCCCGTATGTTTATTGGTAAATATTAGGTCGATATACTTTACAAGTAAACCTTTTTTTACGCGCAGCATCAATTTTCCAATGAATACCACTGAATACGTCTAACCATAGCTGTAAGTAGAATTAATAAAATTGAATAAATATGAGGAGATTGCAGAAAGAACGAGTGATTAATGCAAATAATGAATATGATACAATCTCCTACATTTAGCCTAAGAATCTATCTTGAACCACCGGACTCAAGCCCCAGACGGTAAGCGCATATATACATAAAACTGCAAATTTATTTTGTGCCAATAACTCACAACTAGAATTATCGTGTATCCGAATGCTATACTCCATACTTGCAAGTAGAGGGTTAAAAAAGAAGAATTGAAGTAATAAATATCTCACTCTTATTATCATCAAATCGGGAAACTATGAAACAAACAGTGAAATTCTTGGCGCCATAGAATATCTTCATAAATAAAAATGGACCGCTTTCGGAACATTCAGATGTTTATGAAAGGAATTTATCATCAATGAATACAGAAAAAGATTTAATATGTTCGCTTGATAAATATTTATCGGTCGTTCCCAATGAAATCATTCTTCTAACCCATTTTATTAAGATTCACAATCTTTTGATTGACATTTATACCAAGGCTTGAGAAGACAGAATCTATATTCAAAACTCCGAAATGTTGAACTGAATTCTCGCTTTCGAATAAGTCAGTAGGAAAGCTTCGTTCAAGATGAAAGTATTTTTTTACATCGGGTAATAACGTAAATAACGTTTCTCCTCCTATCTTCATATTTTTCCTCGGTATGGTTGTATAGCATTCTTGTTGAGTTCCAAAAGTTTATATTAATATTATAATTATTTTGAAGTCAATTACGACGACAGTATAAACCGATCTATTTAGTTCTTGTTATTTCAGTAATTGGTGCATGTATACGTAAACTCGATGACAGGAGATTATCCGTTTAACCACCCAAAAGGGTGAAGGGGCTGCGTGTGGTCTTGTCTACCAAGGATTAAGGTATTAACCAAATCCGATCAGTCTTCCATAATGTTTGCTTTCTAGGCATTTACAAATAACAAAATTTGTAACAGTTTAGGAGTCGAATATCATCGGTTTTGTTGATTAATTCATGGTGGCGCCGATGGGAATATAGAAAGGATATTTTTCAGACAAAAATTCATTATTCCAAGATGAATTTATGACACCAGCAACATGAATACGTTTTTCATCTGCGAATGTTAAAAACAAATTTGAAAAATAAAATCACGTCGTTCCAGCCAGTGAACCTAAAAACTAATCAACTTCAAGATCATCCTGCAGAAGTTTTATGACTTATATTATCTCACATACAATATCGCTAATACGGTTACATATTTTTAATTTATTTACTTTTGTTTTTTAAGTATTAACCTTACCGACATAGGGTAATGATATGACAGAAGCACCTATACGGACTATATACTCTGAGCGTCACATGACCCATGCAGCGAATTAATTAAACGTAATTGCAAATCAATTAGGTGATATGGTAATAAAATTGAAATAAATTAGCCATTACATACTCATAAAAAACATGGCGATTGTAATATATTTGTTTGTTGTACTATAATGATAAACCTCCATATTGATTTGTATGTTATACAATTAAAAAACTGGTAATGACTATCAATTGCAAATAGTAAATGGTAACAGATGAAAGCCCAGAAGGTTGAACTCTAAATTGCATTCTAACAAACTTGGTTTATTGACTTTTAAAAAAATACCATTACTGCCAACTCGTATGTAATTTAATTGCATTGTAAAAGCAAGAAACTCGTGCACGTATTAGACTTTCTGCCAACAATTTGGGCTTTTTTATTAGAAAGATACTATAAATGATACCTACATATTTTATTTTTTATTGGCTGTTTATTGCAAAGTACCCGGTAGCATTCAATTAGTGCGCTTACATAATGATGATCATCATCTTATCAACTGGGAAAATATATTTTCAGATATTTTGACGAGCCTTTTGTTTTTACAAATATATCCAGAATATTTGGGGAAAATTTGTAAAATTATAATGAATTATAAGTGTTTGTGTTCATTCATGAAATACAATTTGAACGAGTTCATGATCAGTCACAAAGCTTTTATTAAATCGCAGTTCATACACCGAATATTTCTTTCAAGTAAAATTCTAAGTTTTCATTTTTGAAATTGGGGTCGCGCGTGTTCGTGGCAGATAAAGCCGGATTCTTTCAATAGCGCGTGGCGGGGACACACGCCATCAATCAATGGGGCATTAGACCAATAGACAGCCGCGTCGACGGACATATTTTTCATTTTATTCAAAATATTTAAGTGAATGATAATCGGATAACATCGATATTTTTCATCATTGCAATAAAAACGAATGAACTTGTTATCCAGTTTATCTGTTTACCGACGGCAAAGGCAAACGACCTCCCACGTTTTGTCGCTTTCTTGTGTACTTCGTCATTATGTAGTTTGACGGAAAGAATGTATTGGTCAGGCAAGGGGAATGGATAAATAACGATTTTGTCTTAAAAACTAACACAACAATGTTCAAAAAACAAGATGGATTGTTTGCAAATATAAAATTCAACGATTTGGTGTCACATGACCGTGTATAAAATTTTTGGCGTTTGTAAAATAATAAAAAATGTTGGTGAAAGAAAATGGCTTTTGAACTATTCCTTATTTTCAATTCGCGAATGAATTTCAATTTTTAAGTGGGTGTTCCAGAATTTGGGAGATTTAAAATTCGTTGAAAATGAAATTTGTTACATTTTTTAATCAGGTTAATTTTTCTTGCGCCGAAATATTCTCGTTTAAAATATTTAAAATGCGTCAATTTCAGAAAATATGAATCTTTAAAGCATCAAAATACTTTATAAATAAATTAAAAAGTTTGTACCGTTCCCTCATCATTTAAAAACGCTAAGGAAGTAATGATATATAACATATATATATATATATATATTAATTTATATACACCACAACGAATCTGATAAGAATTATTTATATTGTTCAATATGAGAAGTATATATAACTTTTTAGATCTGTTTATATATTTTAGGAATTGAAATGACAATTTCATGTATCAGTAATAGGGCAATGCCCAGATGACGTCACGTTTTATGATGCAATGACATTTTATTATAGCTTTGATCTTCTTGAATATTCTCAAATCCAATCTATTATAAGTGCACAACCGCATGGCAATATAGTATACAATCTTGGTCAAGCCAAGTGTTGGGATTCCCCCAGTGTCATTATATTGTCTCCTTATATTACCCTTAACATGAATCTGATTATACATTATACATTTTATACTACTGGGCTCTTGCGCTGAGAAACGTACATTTGTTGTAAGTGCATTTAAATTTACATTTTAAATAAAATAGTCTTCTAATGTATCCTTTCTTTCGTTAGTTTATCCGATATATGTATTCTAACGGCAATTAACACATGATCTGGTTGCATTTGCAGGCTTCACGTTATCTTGCAGGCAATTTCATGTTATTACAGTTAGACTAATATTAGACCTAGAATTAATGATTTGGGGGGAAATTAGACCACAAATTTTGGAAATGTTGGCATAGGGATCAGCTAGAGGAAAAGTATTAAGAATTAGTTTGGTATCGATGACTGCGCGTGTGCAGTCCGAGTTAAAGTCGTTTCTTTCTTTGTAACCTTCCGTATTTTGTGAAACCAATATTATCTTCAAAACCAATTTCAGTCAACCATTGCGAGTGTTTTGTTAATAAAGGCAATGAGTAAGATTAAAAAAACT